TGGGGCCCATGGCACTTATGGGCTCTTCTCCCCCTTAGACCCCTTGAGCAGTGGCCCCACTCTCCCCCTTGCTTCCCCCAACCCCACTTCGAGGGTCTTCTCCGCCGTCACCTCCTTCCTCCTCTTCACGGCGGGCTCCTCTGCTCTCTCCCTCACCCTCTTTTTCTTTTTCAAAGTCTCCATCTCCTTTTTATTCCTCTCTTTCAGAGGATCCACTGGGGACGGTTGTGGCTCAAAGCCCCCCAAATCTTTCTCCCCCAGTGGCTTCGGGAGTGGTCGGATTCGCTCCCTGGCGATCGGTTTCGGAGCAGGCCCAAGTTGTGCCTCCTTATACTTGTCCGCTCGGGCTAACAATCTCCTCTCCTCCTCCTCCTCTGCATTCCTCTGCGCCTCCAGCTCCTCCCTTACTGGGTCCTCCCTCAACGGTTGCGGTCCCAATTTCAAGGCAAACAACGTCGAAGGCAGGACCAGCTCATCCTACCTCAGCCCTTTCTCTTCCCTCCATTCCCTTACCTTTTTCACCCGGTCTTCAGCCTCTCCGCCCAACTTAGGTTCGACTGATTTGGTGGGGACCTTCCACGTGGTGAGCGCCCCAGCCCTACTGTTCTCCGTTACAAAGAACCATCTCCGTCTCCACCCCTTCACTGACAATGGAAGACTTGCCACCAAACCTCTCCCCGCCACTGCTTGCAACATCACCCAGGTCTCCTACTGACCGGAGGCCTTATAGCAGGAGAAGAACTCCTCTACTGACATCGCCGTCCCTCCGGTCGCCTGCGGCCAAGCACTCGCGCACGCCATTACTATCTTCCAAGCATTCGGCATCAGTTGCCCTGGCGCCGCCCCTAGCGTTCTTAGCACATCCACCACAACTTAAGGGAGGGGTAGCCTCAACCCTCCTCGCAATGCTTCTTCGTAGAGGCTAAATTCGCCCGGCCGCACATCTGATACCCTTTCTGTGGTTGTGGGCAATCTTAGCCCTATCTTCGAGGGTATTTGATACTTCTTCCTTATTCTCTCCAACTCCTCTATTGTCAGTACAAATCTATCCGGTTTGGTGTGCCAATGGTCTGGGTCCACCTGACTGATAGGCGTCGCAGCCGAGATTATTGTCCTGGAGCGAGCCCGCATCGCTTGACTCGCTCCCCGCCCTACGCTTCGTACGGTATTGTTCTGCCAAACCCACCGCATCGTCGTCGTCTAGTAGATCAACCCTTGCGTTTGTTGCTTCTTCTTGGGCCATCTCTCTTGTATGTTTGCGAATAGTTTCGGATGTGGGCGCAAGAAAATTCACAAAGTGTTACAGGGGTGTATCACTAGCAACGAAGGAGTTTACACTTGGAATGTTTTGATTTTTTGCAAAAAAATAGGTAAAGCGAATAATACCAAAGGCCCACGACTTGCCTGTATTCCAAGAGTCACAATTAATTTTTGCCAGTTTGAAAATTTTCAAAAATCCGCCAAAACTATCTTTTCAACACCCTATAATGACCTATCGTTTCATTTCTTGCCTAACGCCTAACCTCCACCACTACGAGATTCGGCCACGTGTACGACCACGATCCACTGCCCCTTTCCCCTTCCTTGTCTATTCCACGTCACTTCAAACACGTACCATGCCGCCTCTCGAGCCTCGCGCCACTCACCCACCCTTCGCGGTCGACCCTCCGCGTGATCGGTCCCTCCACTCGGCCACCCTTCACGGTCGGCCCTCCGCGTGATTGGTCCCTCTACTCAGCCACCTTTCGCGGTCGGCCCTCCTCATGATCGGTCCCTCTACTCAGCCACCCTTCGCAGTCGGCTCTCCTCATGATTGGTCCCTCCACTCAGCCACCCTTCGCGGTCGGCCCTCCTCATGATCGGCCCCTCCACTCGGCCACCCTTCGTAGTCGGACCTCCTCATGATCGGTTCTTCCACTTGGCCACCCTTCGCGGTCGGCCCTCTTCATGGTTGATCCTTCCATTAGGCCACCCTTCGCGGTCGGCCCTCCTTATGCTTGGTCACTCCTCTCGGTCGACCTTTACCCTACCGGTCTCTCACAACCCTCATTTTTTTAATTATTCCTTTCGTCGGACTAAAGCTGCACTTGGGAATGGGGGACTACTGACATAGGTAAGCCCATAAAGATTATAGCCCTCCATTTAGGGCCCAATACACAACTCAAATACTAAGGCCCAATACTGTTGAAGCCCCACGTAGCAATAAAAACCAATGACATCAAAACACATGTCAAGAGGAGGGCAAGCCACACAAGCAGACAAAGATATACAAAGTTATTGCCACTGCACATCGCCATTAATGAAGCCCCTTACAGCATTTATTGCGACAACCCCTCTCTATTAAAACGGAACGGCTTCAACATGAACAAGACAAGTTAGAGCATAGACTTTCGGCCAAGGTGACAGGTCGGAAAGGACAACGAAATGATTAACGGAGGATATAAGCAGACGTCGAAGACAGGAAGAATGTTAAGCTTTTCTATCTCTAATTTATCTACACGTTCCACTTCTCTCTCTAACTTACTCGTTGGAGGGTTCGCTGGGGGACTCCCCGTTCCCCGTTGAACTCTTGTGCAGGTCTTCTGGTGGGTTTGATCATTCAGATATAGGATTAAGAAGCGTGGATCAGTCCGACCCGTTCCATCTGGAACGAACTGTTTCATCATAGTGTTTCACTCTTTCTATATTTAAAAAATAAAAAAACATTATATGTATTATATGAAAAGGCCTAACAAATCCAATACAAAGAGGACATGGGGAGAATAGAATTGGACCGCTTTGCTTTTTTACTGGGGCAAGAAAAAATTGCACGAAAAATTGTCATTCCTACAGTTACTTTCGCTCTCGTTCTATGTTCAGATCTTGAATTTATAGGGAACACAAACACAGCCTTAGGATAGACTAGGCTATGTTAGGACTTTGTCGGGTAAAATTTTTTTTTTTTTTTTTTGTTAAATACTGTTAATTTGTGAATTTATCAACCATTATCAGGGTTGAATCTTATCTTTCACATGTTCATTTATAAATGCAGTTCAAAAAAATAAAAACATGTTCATTTATAAACCTTGTTTGGGCCAGGATGGGCTACTTTTTTAGGCCTATTAGTACTCGAACTCGGGCCTGTAAACTGTACCTAAACTTTTCCCAACCGATATAATTTATAGAGGCTGATTAAGGGTAGGCTAACGAGTCAAGTGAACTTGAGTTGAGTTTTAATATCTTTAGATTTATTTATTAAAATTTTAATGAATTTAAATTTAAACTTAATAAAAATTTAACAAATTGAGTTTGAGTTGAATTGGATTAGAATTAACTTAAGTTCGAACCTATTCACAAGTCTTGACGAATTAAAAAATTTATAAATTCATGCTTGTCGAGACTAAAGTTACAATTAAAATTTTGATTATACAATTATATATACAATATTGGATAGTGAATACCACACTAATTTGATAGGATTATTATTACCTCAATCTTAATCTTGTGAATCAAACATGGCCTAAATGTACTATTTATAATTAACTATTATTTTCATTTATATTTTTTAAATCTATAAATAATATATTTATCTTATCTTTCATACATATTTTTATATCATTTAATATATATATATATATATATATAAATAATAAATATTAAACAAGTTAACTAATGAGCCAAGTTTACCAGTCGAGTTTTATTATATTTGAGTTTGTTTATTAAAAATTTAACGAATTGAAAATCAAGTTTAAACACAATTTTTTTTTTTTTACCTAATTGAATTTAAACAAGTTATTACCTAACCGTACCCGAATCTGTTGACCAACGATTCTGTTTATTTATTACTCTATTTGGGGGTAGCGCAGTAGTACCTGCACACACCATGAATATTACTATTTTATTACTTTGATTCTAATGAAAGATTATACAAAGATTCTCTCAATTAATAGAAAATTTTAATTTAGGGATCGTTTGGCATTAATTAATATAACTAATTTTTTTATGTTTGAATTTTTTTATCCTAGTTTTTTTAGCCTTATTTGGTTTTTGTTTTTAGACTTTTTTTATTTTTGTAAGAGAAAAAATGTAATGATTATGAATGAAAAGTAATATTTTATCTTATTAATTTATATAGCCTATTTTGTCTTTTTATACTTTTTTTAACTTCAATGAGAAAACCAAACGAGATTTATTATATTTATGAATGAATATTTTGACCATCTTAACTATAAAAATTATACAAATACTTTAAATTTGTTTTATTTATGAATGAATATTTTGATCCTTTTAACTATAAAAATCATACATACATTTTCTTTCAAGAATGGGTGTGAAAGTGATGCACTTTTATAATTGAGAATGTCAAAATATATGAATTCATAAATAAAAAATAAACTAAACCATAATTGCAAAACTAGAATTACCTCCCAAACCCAAATCTATCTTCTAGAATCAATTTAAACCATGCTTGTCATTATATTTTGAGATTGAAAGCCATTAATTTGATAAAACCAAAGGGTAATTTTGTGTGCAATTAAGGTATAACATGTCCAAAAAGGCATGTGTTGGGTAGTGTGGAGTTTGATAGTAGGCAAAGAATATTTTCATATTTTTCTCACACTAGTAATACTATTGTAGACATAATCTAATTTAAACATAAATCTTATGTTCTTCTATGAATAATCTTTGATTCCTTTCATTTTTTTTTTTCAATTTCTTATTCACCAGGATCTTGTGTTAGGGTTCCACAATTCCTAACAATTTACTCACTGAAACATATCTTTTCAGCCTCCATGATCTTTAAACAAATAATTCATTTTTTTACTTCCAAAACCCAAGTGCAATAACATGTCAACCAAAACAATAAAGAAAGAAAAAAAAAAGTGTCTACAAACACAGAAATACCAAAAAACAATGTATCGCGTAGGTTCAAAATTTACTCACAGAAGATCGGGTATACGACCATAGCTTAAAAGAGTATATATCATTCAATCTTAATCTTTAAGGAGAGTTCAAAAATATAAAAGAAAAAAAACTTTTTCATTCTCTGCAATGTATATATAAACAGAGATAGAGACCTGTTTCGTCAATCAATCTACTCTAATATAAGAACTTTCAGATCTCCATAGTCAGACTCAGGCCACACTATCCTTTTCCTCCGATGTCGCCGCCTCGCTCTCTCAGCCTCTAACTCCATCTGAAACTCCAAACAACTCTTCCCCATATGCCAACCAGTCTTGCACACAACACAGAATAGTCTCCAACACTTAGGACAAGCCCTGATCTTGAACCCTCTCTCATCATCCACAAATCTTTCTTCACAGTCCTCAAAAGGGCAATCCAAATATGTCTGCCAATAAAGAACAGAAGACTCTGCGAGAGCATTAACCCATCTCCAAAACACCTCTTCCGGGACGATCTGTCTAAAGAAATAGGGTTCTAAAACAGCCTTGCATTTGGGTTTTGGACACTTCACTTTTCCAATGTTTTCTTGAATCTTTTCTCCAATGTAGATGCAAATACACTCTTTGCAAAATGAGTGATTGCACTTGTTGCTTTCCACTAAGGCTCTGTTTGGTGCTGCTTCATCGCAAATCACGCAAAAAGTATACGAAGACTCGCCAACATGGTACTTGCATGGCGGGTTTTTGTATACTAATTGCAACGATGAAGATGTGTCCACATCTTTCATCTTCAAATCTTGGATTGGAGAAGATTCAGACTCAGACTCAGACTCAGACTCGGATGCAAACATGCCTAGCATTTTGAGTGTAGTTGAAGAAGAGAGTACGGAGTTGAGGAGAGATTGGTGGAGGTTTGGATCCACTTCTTCTTCTTCTGAAGCAGACAATAATCTCTCTCCTCTCTTTTTTTCTTGGATTTCTTGATTTTCACAGAGGAGAGAGAAGGTTAAGTGGCCGTTCAACAAGATAGGGATATATTTTGGGTTCTTCATTGATTCAAATCATAAGAAACAATGGAAGAAGAGACCTTGTGTGATTGTACTACTATTATTAAATCAAAAAACTATAGTCTCCTATTTATTGTAGAGTTTTCTTGTTCCCCAAACAATAGAATCACAATAACTTCATCAACAAGTTTCCTATTTTGTTGTACCCTTTTTTAAATTTAAGAATCACAAAATTTTGGAAGACTTGCGATTGGGGAACTAGGGTTTATGTGCTTGGTCGCCTACCTATATGTAAACCAGAAAGTGCCTTCGATTTTTTTTTTTTTTTTTTCCCCCTCTTTTTCTTTGACTTCTTAAATTTAAATATAGATTATATTTTGAGTGGCATGTCAAAAAATTCGACTGAATTTATATACATATTATGGGCCTAAGTTTTCGTGCATGATACATTTCGATTTTGTATAAAAAAAAGAGATTCGTAAAATTTATTGTAGAGTTTTCTTGTTCCCCAAACAATAGAATCACAATAACTTCATCAACAAGTTTCCTATTTTGTTGTACCCTTTTTTAAATTTAAGAATCACAAAATTTTGGAAGACTTGCGATTGGGGAACTAGGGTTTATGTGCTTGGTCGCCTACCTATATGTAAACCAGAAAGTGCCTTCGAATTTTTTTTTTTTTTTTTTTTTCCCCCTCTTTTTCTTTGACTTCTTAAATTTAAATATAGATTATATTTTGAGTCGCATGTCAAAAAATTCGACTGAATTTATATACATATTATGGGCCTAAGTTTTCGTGCATGATACATTTCGATTTTGTATAAAAAAATAGATTCGTAAAATTTCACAATTACATTAAAATAAATGAACAAAAAGTGTTTAAACATTGTTTTATAAATGCCTCTTTTCTTAATTAATTAATTTATTTATAAAATGTGTGTTACAATCACTTTTCCTCTAATTCCTAAATAGCAAACAATTAAAATATAAAAATTTGTATCAATATAAAAAATTTCAAAATCAAAACATAACATACCTTACAATGTTCTTATGAAAATTGATATTTTGGTAATTATTAATTTAGGGTATCACCTGAATTTCTCCAAGGAGATTTTATCAAGTCCAAAATTGATTACTAAATTAATTAATTTGAATCCCCCATTTTGAACCTATCAAATTCTTTCACTATTTGCTTAATAAAAAAATATTGGCCATAAAGTCCAATTGGAATAGTAACAAAAAAAAACAGGGCAAAAAAACAGAGAACTACAAAAAATCCAGCACAAAAACAAGAGGAAAACTACCAATAATGATTCCATAAAAGCTAACTATAATGCTACAACAGCTACAAAACATGTGCCCAAGAACATGATTACCATATTACATACAACCCTTCGGTAAATTAGTGCCTGCAAATTGTTTTGCTTCCATTTCTCCCATTTTCTCTTCTCACTCATATTCTCGTCTCCCCAAGTCCAAAGCCACCTATTGATGTAGAATAATGGGGACAACTTAATAATACATGTAGACCTACTCCTAGGACAATTTGGGAACCCCCCAAAAAAATTTAATTCCTTCATAAATGGAGATGGGAGAAATAAAAATTTAAAAAGAGGTCAAGTGAACCCTAATCCAATGGTTGTCAAACTGTAATGCATCAAGAATATCCATTTGTTGTTTTCTGCAGTTTCTTCTTGAAATTTGAAATGCTGCATTGTGGACAAATGTATTCTAGTCCATCTGTTTTTGCATAATCCTGTATTTCCAAGATCAAAAACTGTTGGTTTGCTTGTAGACATTGTAATTTAGTCAAAATTCTAATATTAACAGAGCTACAAATTTAGTAGTGGGCCTGTTTGGTACAGCTTTTAGCGAGCTAAGATTTTAATAATCATAAAACATAAGTTAAAACCACGTCTCCCTGCTTCTCAATAATCAATTTTTTATCTATTTATTATTATTTTTTTTTAGGCTTATTTAAGCTATTTCAGCCTCGTAAGGTATTAAAAAAATAAAAGTAAAAAATAAAAAATAAAAAGTTGTAATAAACACTAACAGCGGATTTTCAAAATAGAAGAAATAGAAAAAAGTTATAACCAGCTTCATAAGCTGGCACCAAACAGCCTCAATATCAATTCTTCAATCAAGAGATTATGGAGATTTGATATACCGTACCTTAAAGGCACCAAGGCCCTGCCTTCTGTCGCAACCAAAATGGGCCCACTCGCCACATATACCACAGTTCACCCAGTCCCCTGCTGCACTACTGGTGAAAGATTGGAATTCCCGTTATTAGCAAATGAGGACCATAAATCATATTATACACGTGTGATCACCTTTATGTATGTATTTATAATTTAACCGTTTCAGCACAGATATTTAATATGGAAGAAGAAAACCTGTGGCATAACAAGCAGCACTCTCCGTCTACATCGTCATGAGCTAATTCGTACTCCAGAAGATAAGTTTCGTAATGTCTTTTAAGCGTGTTCCCAACACCCTGAGATTCAAATAATAAAAAGAATATGAATATATTGATTTTCATAAATTGCTAGCATTTTTCCATATCAAATGCTTCAACAGATAAAGGTTTTATATCATAAGGTTTCCGGACATACAGTCATTCTATTGGTCACTGTATGATTGCGCATCTTGGAGAAAACCTGTCCTTTCCAATTGATGCCGTTGCCAACATGAAAGCCACCTCTTGAAACCACCTAAGAAACGCCAGACATTTTTAAGTTACTTATGATTTTCAAAAGTCATTTACTTTGAAACATGAAAATTAACAATTAAAAACCAATTTACGCTTGTAGAGTTTCTTGCAGTCAACCCGTTCATCTAAGAAACAGTCTATAGTCCACCTGTTACCAAACAAGCACAAGAACACTCACCTCCCTATACAAATTGAAGAGGTCCAGTCGTTTTGCATTAAGAATAGCATCAGGGAACTCTGAAAGCCCACCTTGAGGAATGAGACGGGTATGCCCTCGAAGGATTAAAAACTGCATTACGTCCTTGAGGAACTCCTCCTGCAACAAAACAGTATTAAACACTCCTCATGGCAGAATATTTTAGCACCTAGATATAAGGAAAGAAAAGACATAACCGACCTCAGAACAAACATGAATTGGGCTTCGGTCACAACCATGTTTCTTCAGAGGCAAGGGATTCAATGAAATAATCTGTTTAGCCTGAAATGAATTTGAATATGATTTCCGATGGGTAACAGGATTTGATCCCGCCACACTGTGCTTCGACAAAGGAGCAACTGACAAGTTAGCTTTTACTTGGCCCCCTTCATGTCCATCCCCCTCAACTGTTGCAGAAAACGGAAGCATTTTCTGGTGACGAATATGAGGAATGGGTCTCATTGCCGCAACTTTCAATTTTTGCCTAACGGGTACAAAGGGCACATTAACCCCATTTGTCAATCCCATATCCTTATCCTCCCGGTCTTCCCTTTTGACAGAAGCTTGATTTCGAGAGACCAAACCATTATGAAAGCCCAGACTTGTTTCTCGGCACATTTCATACCTCTTTCTACTAGGAATGGGTGGTCTCAACCAGCTGGGATGGTTGCCAAAATAAGAATTGCTTAAACTAAGATCTTCCCCGGGCCTAGTACAGAAGAAAAGAAATCGCTCTGCATCATCTTTCTCAAATGAAGCAACGGCTAATCCCTGAATGCTGGCAATGCCAAGTCCAACTAAACTACGATATGAAACATCTGGTGCTAGCTGCCTCAGAACCTGCAAATGCATGCCCCAATCACATGATGTAGCTCATATTCATTCAAGACATAAGCCTCGTCATCTACCATAACACAATCTATCACCCATTTAAATACAGTTTTCTAAATCCCAAAATACCAACTACATTAAGATGGAAGGGATATGTATGTGTGTGCGCGTGTAAAGAAAGACTGCGCTATGAAAGTTGACAACCAGTCTACCAAAATCCAAATTAAATAATAAACAAAATCGAACAATATTTTAGCATCTATGCAAATATGTCTTTTTTTTAGGCAATGGAGAAGCTTTGATAGAACAGTTTATTACGAAAGATGGAAAATTTTAAAACCAGTCAATGCAACACGACTCGTACAACACAAATGGATTAACTCCCCACCGATACAAGGGATTTTAATATTATCCAGGTAACACGGACACTTCTGGTACACTCCTAGAAATGTGTCTACACTTGTTCAACACGTCCTAATTTAAAATAAATTTGTATAAATGACTCTTCTTGGACACTTTGGCAACACTTTTTGAACAGGACCTATGTGATGAATGTCTTAATAGTAATATGTTCAGCATTTTTGGAAACGCTGTATGCACACCCAAATGTGCCTTGAAACATTTCTACACATGCGAACTTCTACGTTAACATGAGAGAAATATATATACATATATATAGCAATAATGATTAAAAAAAGAGAGGGAATATAATAAGAATAAAAGCCATAGAAGTGTGCATTATACACATGTTAAGATTTTCCATGTCCTTACCGTGCCATATCCAAATTTCTTAAGATTTGCCATTTTAGTGTCAATATCATGTGATGTCCATGTCTCATGTATGTGTCTATGCTACATAGATTAAAATGTCCAACAATATGTTGTAGACGTCTCCGAACGTCTCAGAAGGGAATCCCCCAATTTGTTCATTGGGACTAACTACAGTTCGGACTCAAATTGTCACGGTTCTTAATTTGATCTCACAATGTGCAACGTGAGATTGATAAATCATCAAAGAGTCCAAATCTGGCAAATCGTTTTGAAAAACAGATTTTTAGAAAAGAAGTGCCAAACATGAACTGCTTTGCCAGATACAGAGTCGCCACCTAAATATTTTATCTTTGGAGAATTTAGGAAACCTGGCTCGTGCCTAAGGCCACGTGTCTGTCATCACCAAAGTTACCTCGGCTCGAGAACTTGGGTACTATTGGGGAAGGTCATTTCGTGAACACCCCCGCTCGCCCGATCAAAGATCGGCCTCTACTAACCATGATATCTAGTTTTAAAAACATTATGCGTTCTTATTCTGGTTATTAGCCTAGATTTACCATGTGATGCGCACAGCATACAAGTATAAATTGGATCGTCTGAATTGGAACAAAACATTTCATGTTTGTTTTTTAGAGCGGTTTGCTACTCGCAAGTGGGCTAAAAATACAGATTTTGCCACCCTCGGGTGAGCTTAGAAAAGATGGTTTTGCCACTATCTAGTGGGCTTAAAACTCACAGTCAATGCATTGTTCCAATTTAGATAACCCGACCTTCACTCACAGGCATTCAGGCAGTTATAATATATAAGCACGTAGCCTCATGGTAAGCATGCTATCATGGCAGACACTCACACGCATGCAAGGATGCTAAAGCATAAAAGCTTACCTAGTACTCCAAGCCAAAATAGAAACTAGTTAGTAATCAAACGCATGATCCTAGTTCATGTTAGCAATGGCTAATGCAACGCATACAGAATGCAATTAGGACAGGCTCGGCTAACCTAAAGATGGCATATGAAATGCAACAGATAACATGTATTCAACTTGGAATTGAAATACCATACAGTTAGTATGATGCGCCAAGCCCGGTACATGCAATACAGATGAATAGATGAACGCATGCATAACATAAGGTATGCTAATTTAAATATGCCCTAATACTAACCATTGAAAGCAGGTAAGTAAGGGAGAGAGAAGTGGGGGTTGAAAGACATACACACACTCACACACACTTATTACACAATTGCCCTCGCTCAAAGGGTCCGAAAGAATAATACAGACCGAATAACGAACCAACTATCCTAGCTAATTAATTATTACAAAACTCCTAATTAATTAACAAATTAATTACAAAAACAGCCTAAATATGAAACTAAAAGAGACCGCCGCAACTCTGCCTCGGAATGCGTGGATGATGCATGCTCGATTTGCCTTGCCCGGAAGCCCGCTGCCATGCCATTGTTGCCTCTGTTTGCACTGTCCTATACCTCTGAGGACTGTGAAAACCCTGGAGATGCCTCTGAATTGCTCCCTGAGCATTGTGAGATGCCACCGACCAAGGCATAAGATCACCGGCCATTGATAAATGGTCATCGACCAATTGTTGAGCCATCGGCTAATTATTTTTGGTCGGTCGGCACTGTAGGTAGCCGGTCGGCCAAATCTTCCTGTAGAATCCTGTTTTGACAGCAGCAGAGGACAGACAAGGCATGGCATGGAATTTTCAAGCAAATGTGTGCATGTCCACTCTCCCTATCATATTATGGACTCAAGCGGGTGTGGACCTCGGTACTCAGGCCACCAATCACGCATTTTGATGCATGATGGCCAAAATTACCAAGCTTGCAAGTCAATGTAAATGAATGCAACAAAAACACATGAGTGCTACATGCCCTATCATGTTGAGATCAAAGGCATTGGCGACCGAGGATTGAGACGTGTTTCGTCACTTTGAGTACGAACACATTTCATTCCTCATGCTTGGTTTGACACCCCAAAACAGGCAAAATGTAATGCATGTATGCAACGTGGCTCAAGTATGTACATGATGCTAAGGTACAAAACATGCCAAATGCAATGTAACCTATTATGCAAGTGTGCAATGTGCCAAGCATGCAATGCTACAATGCAACCTAGATAGGCAACTAGGCAAAGTGATAAGCATGTAACAATGCACTAACTACAAGGATGCAACAATCATACAATGTAATGAGCATGCTACAAGACGCAAATGCATGATCCATGGATCTACACTAAGATGGAGGAACCTCAGCCACACCCCAAAACAGTGGCCAAAAGTACTAAAATGATGATGCCAATCATGCAAAATAAACATGCAAACCAATGAGCCTAAGGCTAAGGTATGAAAGGCAAGTTTCAAGAGCACTCACATGATGACAAACATGGATGCTTGACTAACATATTAAGCTCTAAAAATGTATAGAGGATGATGCCAAATCAACCATGTCATGCAAGTAAGGCATGCAACCATGACCAAAACTTGAAGCCAACAAAGGGGTCCAAACCATAGCTATGTCAACCAAACCCCAAAGGACCAAAATGACTTAAAGCAGTCCTAAGGCACTCCAAAACAAGACTAAAGCATGCATAGATCATGGTCAAGACATGCTAAGAAATAGATGCAAAACAAAGGGGGATTTAGGGCCACAAAGAGGGCACTCTATTACAACCACCCCAACCACACGTGGCATGGACTAACCAATGCAAAATCAGAGTTTTAACATGCAAAATAAGTCCTCAAAACCCACTGATATGGCAGCCCAAAGACTAAACATGGTATCATACACAATGACCAACTCTTGAGGCACAAAACTACAACACTTTCAAGCACTGAAAGAGAGCCAAATGCAAGTGCACAAGCATGGATTATGGACTGAAATATGGTCTCCAATGATGCCAAATCATGAGAATAAGCTAAGTAAAGCATGCTAATGACCCACACACTCAAGGCTCACAAACCAAAACACAAAAGGGCTATACCAAACATGGCAAACATGATCAAATCAATACTCAACAGACCTCAAGCATGATGAAATATGACCAAAAGCTTCATAAAGCTAGGCAAAAACATGAAAGCATAATGGTCTAATGGCAAGATGCATTTCTAGGCAAAATACAAGGCAAGTATATTATGCATGCAAGGGGGCATTAATCCGACCAAAAACAGAGGTATATTATGACCAAATATCACCCAAAAACCTCTGAAATGGAGCCAAAAACAACTAAGCATGCATGCTACCCTTATGAGCCAAAAACACGAACAAATGAGACACAAAGGGAGAGGGGTGTCCTTCCCCTATGCAAGACCTCAAAACCTCTTCTTCACCACTGAAAATCCTCTGAATTTCAATGGTGAGAAGGCCAATGCACAAAGGTTCCCAACGCTCAACAAAGAAAGCACAAAAAGGGCCAAACAAGGCCTAAGAGGGGGAGGTCGACCCCCAATACCAAAATGACCTTAATGAAGTATCTTAAACACAAAAAAAAAAAAAAAACGTCAGTAGGCAGCAGCAGGCGCTAGGGTTGACATTAGCTGAGAGACGCACCGTTGACGTCAGCAAAGAGTGTATGAATGACGTCAGCAAAGGTGGAGAGGCACACGCATGAGAGAAGCATGTCGCGTAGACCTTCAACAGAGGGCACATGTAAGCGTGTGGTGCGACTGGTGGCACGTGGAGGCGTGTGCAGAGGTGGAAGCTGAGACAGGGGTCCAAGCTTCTTGAGGAAGCTAAGACAAAGGTCCAAGCTTCCTCAAGAAGCTAGACCAAAAGGGTGCAAAGGTTGCAAATTCCTCCATACACGTCCATGCACTTCAGCTGGCACAGCTGGCATGCATAATGCCTGAAAAAGGCAAAAAGGTGGTACCGGCCAGAAAAGGAGTCCATCGGCCAAATAAAAGGTCAGTCGACCACACAAAGTGCCGACCGGCCATCACCAATGGCCGGCTATGAAGCATGGGTACTCTGAAAAACATGCCGTACCCGTACCGGGTACTTACCGACGTACCGTACCTCGTATGGTACTTCTGCATACGTACCGGGTACACGAAACACGTACCCAAGTTTTTTCTTCTTAATTTTTGACGTACCCAGACGTACCTAGTATATATCCAAGCCGTACCGTACCTCAGTTGAAACAATATTTTCCTTCTACTACAGAGATAAAACTCATTTCACTAGATTTCTTTTTTAGTTTTTGTTTTATGTTTAGCATGATTTTAAAATTAAACTATGGTTTGTAAGTTGTTTAATATATTGACATTTAATTTTGATTTATACTTTTTCTTTTGGCATTAAATGTTAATTATAGGCTGGACCTTAACAAATTAAACCATTTAATTATTTTTTGCATTACTCTAAATTAAAAATAAATATTTTTTTACAAGCGTACCAAGCCGTACCCGTAACCGTACCCGTACCCTATTTTTTTTAAATTTTACCATATCGATGTACCCGTATCGTACCAGTACCAGTACCAGTACTCGTACCCGTGCTTCATAGATGGCCGGTGGCAAGAAGGCACGGCCGATGGCCTCAAGCCATGGCCGGTGAGGCGTGGGGATGGCCAACAAGCCATTCTCTACCTTCCAAAGCAAAAACCAAGTGTTTGGTCCAACCAAGCACAAGACAACCGAGTTGAACGATCCTGAGGCAAGGCGCGTAGCCGAGACCTCCGGGAACTCAAAACGAACACGAACATGGATGATCACCGAGTGTTCAAACGGTGACGTCCAAGTCTTGAAGACGGTCAAAAATGGGGTGTCTACATATGTCTAGTTGTCCCTAGTAATACTACTCCTACTGTAAATTCATCTCCTTAAAGAGAAAGCAAAGGAGAAAAAATCATGCTGACTACACTAAACACACTAATATTGTGGCTCTTTTCTAAAGCCATTAAACCACAATCATTCAACCAAAAGTTAGATCAAATGAAGGAGAAACACTAATTGAGCCATAGGTATGATGAAAACAATAATCATATGAAAAAATACAAGGTTTAAAATCATCCATCCAGACAAACTGAACTAAATGACCAAAGCAACCAAAAAAATGTGACTCTGAAAAAAAATGAAAAAAGAAGAAAACGAAGAAGACGACAGGAATATAAGAACAAACCTGTGAAGCCCATGAAGGAACCTTCATGCAAACTTCAAATACTGCTGCCCCACAAGCTATTGAAGCAGATCTCCGTGGTTCTGACAGAGGAGGTTTGTTTTCCTCACAGTTTGGCAGTGCATGAACCAGCTGGCTCTTTTCAATAACTTCACTCTTTATGTGATTCTCCAAGAGCTAAAAATAAATCATGAAAGCTCAGTTTCCAAAACACCAATACCATTTTCCCCTACCAAAGAATAAAAATGTAAAGAGCAAAACATTGAAAACAGTTGCACTGATAAGAATATCTTCAGAATTACCAGATCATCAAAGCAAGTTTGTGCGCTGCCTGAAACTAGAAGTGAGATGTGGGCAGAACTACATGTTGATAAATCACATCGCATTGTCACAACACCACGAGAAAATGTTCCTGCCTGAAGAGGCGGTGGTAGGGCACTGTATCACATTATAATGGAATTAATCAACCACATTTGAACATTTTCTCAGTGGTACATACTTTAATAATCTTTCTTCACGGACTCATCAGGTACATAAATTCAGAAATATGCATAATTAGAGACATTCAAATACAAACATCCTTTACTGACACTCACCCATGCAAAGTCGTACTTCTAATATCGAAGTTGACAACAAATGAAACTAGATGAGAAAAAGATCTGAACAAATATATAAATCTATATATGTATTAAATGGTTTCAAGCTCAAACGTACCTAACTCGGTTATGAAGTTTACTCCCCCGTATCTGAAACAACACAACGAAGAAATGGGAGAAAATGAGTACCCGGTCATAATATTTGAAGGAGAACTGATAACTACCAACAGAATTAGCATGGAACATGTTCTCCTCTCCTTTTTTTCTAAGGGCAACAACTAAGGCTATGTTTGGATCATGAATTTGGGTAGGCATCTGTGGAGGGAAAAGAAAAGTGGAAATGTGAAAAAATTAGCTTATATTTCACTCACATTTCCCTCTACTTTTTTTTACTATACATCTCTACCCAAATCCAAGATCTAAACACAGCTTAAGTACTACATTACACAGACAAAACAAACAATCAAACCACTTTGAAACCTCTTGCTAAAGAGGGCTTTTAGAAATGATTTCAAGGAAATCAACTAGAATTCACTATCCATTCAATCTGAATGTTTCCTTTGGAGGAGGCAGCATAAAACAACTTCCACAACACATGGAGTAAGCAAAAACAACAAATGTGGGGCAAAACTTGAGTAGCTTGAAGACATAACCAGAAGGAACCAGTGCATCATACTCACTTCAATACTCAACAGGGCATTGAGGCCATCTTCCAGAGATCCTAATAAGCATGCATCCTGACAAGAAATTGGTCGATAATTTAAACAAATGGAAGTTGCATATATCTTGATAAGAGGACTCATGAATATAAACTGGGAAGTAAAAAGTTAATCACTGCTTACCAATGTGCATGCCACTCCACAGACAAGAAACTTCATGTTCACATCATCATCATATATCTTTATAGCAGGTAGACCATCCAGAGAGCTTTCATCATCATCCGCTGGGGCAATCTCAGGTAGAGTGACATTGATCATGGGAGGGTCTCCAAGAAGGTATGGAACCAGCTTATCATTACTTCTCTGGCTGTTACCAGGAAGGACAAGGTTGTTTCTTACACAGTAAAGCCTCAAGGAAGCATGAGCAAGCTGGAAAGCATCCCAAGTATGGCTAGATGAGCTGCAATTTGTGGAATAGAAGAATATCAGACACAATTCCTATCCAAGACACAAGTGTCCAAAAAAATAAGAAGCAAATGTGAATCGCAACTTATGTTATGCATGGTCAAGCTTATAAAGCGGCTTCCAAGGCCATCCAAATTCCAAACCTTCACAATTTTGATCAGTTCAATACAATTAGCAAATGGCTGCATTCATGCAACCCAACAAAGTGAACACAAATAGGTTGAGTTCACCTAAAAATTTAACCTCATTACAATTTCCAATGTTCTCAATAAGAATTTCGCAAAAAGTTCCATGATATCCATGAATGAAAGCATAAGTATAACTATGCAATGCATGAATTGAAAATGGTTTCAATGTTCAGAAAGAACATTCAATAATTTTCAAACATCTCCGGAAGTAAACAATTGTGATACAAACACATTGTGGTGCGCTCTAATTTCATGAGAGTTAGTTTTAAACAGTAATATACCTCTGTACCACTGAAAATAATGCATGCCGAAAATGGCAAGCAGCGTAACGAGAAAATGCATTCTTCCAATATATCACATAAGGAATTCCCTGCAAGATGAGAAATATTGATTAACCATTTTTGCCACAAAATAAATACCATCCAAAACTTTAGAATAGGCAAGCTTCTGGTTCTCAAGCACCACAATCTTATTGAAACTTTATTCAAATTCAGAGAATTTCTTACCTTAGACTGAAGAGCCTCAGCCAACTTTTCTCCATTTGGGATCTCCAAATAAACCTTCATATAAGCATTTGAAACCAAATCAAGCTCAAACATCAAAGCTACTTGTGCCAAATTACAAACAACTGATGAATGAGCAAACTACACAATCTTTGGTGGTACATACTTTAATAATCTTTCTTCACGGACTCATCAGGTGAACCTACTCACATTCATTTCTCCAGTACAAGTATTTCCAATTAATCAGTCTGAGGGGTTATTATCAAATATTTGTTAATCATACATAAATACTTTAGATCAGAAAAAGCAAAATTGAGGTAGTTGACCCTAAATGGTTGGGGAAATGGTTTCTGCACTTGAGTTTGTCAGTTATTTATTTTATTTTTATTTTTTTTGGCTACCTAGGTGTTCAAGACGTCCGCTTGATCAGTTCATGACACTAAAAAAAAATGGTAAACTTGTCATTTGCATAGTTCGCATATAGGTGCCAACAAGGGCATCAACAACTGATGACAACAACACATCTTCTAGTGAAACAAGACCGAGTTATTGGAAGGGGGAGGGCGGTAGAAGAGGAGAAAATGACAAAAAGATAAGGCTGTGAAGTTAAAGCACCATCACAATTGCCGAATGATGATTAAAAACAGCTTCCATTAGGGTTGAGTCATAATAAATTGGCAAAGAGTGATAGCACCAATCTACTTGGAGCAGAATCTTCATAAAACACTATCATTTATGATTTAATCTAGTTTGGTCCATGAGAAAATTTGTGCTTATTGGGAATGGTAAAATATCAATTTATTGAAAGAACAAAAAGTAGCATTCAAGTATGATGAAACTACACAAGACAAGGACCGAGACAAGGGTTACAAAATTAATCATCCCCTGAATGTAACCCTAGTAATTAGAGATAGGAAAACCCTAAAAACTCAATATCCCCATCATCAGCATTGACAATAAAAAAAATGTTTCAACCCTTCCAGATGCACCGAAAGAAAAATCAGAACAATATTTTCCATAACCCCAACAACTTTTCTCCCCAAAAGGCGCCTGCACCCTACAACTAGGTTGCAAACAGAAGGTAACAAAAGTATTAGACCTTACTCTTTATCCATCAAAACCTTTCTCCCAAAAAAGTCCAAACCCTACAACTAGGTTGCAAACAGAAAGTCACTTCCATGAGACATTGATTCATAGTACAAGAGGTACTAACCCTTAAACCGCCCAATTAAGAATGAAGCATGTAGGCTAGAAAATTCGCATACCTCTTTCCCACTTGTAGTGCACAGATAATATAAGAAACTAGCTAAAGCCTCAAGTGTTCATAGAAGTAAGTCCATCTTCCTTTGCTTAGAGATTTCTTCTTCCATTCAACCATCCTTCAGCCAAAACTGTCAAATCCAAAGTCTTTATAATGTGGCCTAACTCACTTGGGCTCAAATGAACCATGAACTTGCGACCACCTCAAAATAACGAAGCAAACTCAAGTATCTAAGCTACTTTCTCAATTTTATACCAAGCTCAGAGCTAATTTAATCAAAAACATTAAACAGCAATAAAGTGAACAACATAGAGAGATGATGTAGATGCAATGAATCAACCAAACACACAAAAACAAATGTCTAAACTTGAAAAGAGTATGTAAGTGAAAGTTAATTATCTCAAATCCACACAAATAGGAAGCAAACAAGAACTCATTACAGAGAATTGTAGAATCATATAGTTAGAGGAGATGAGCCACATACAGTGGTTGGCAATGTGGAACCGAAGAGCCCAGCTACAGCTTCAGCAGTGGACACGTCAATACCTCCCCACACAAGAGATCCAACTTCATCATTTGGAAGCTGTTCTCCTTGCAAATACACAAAATTTGGCTGAGATGAATCCAAAATTTTGTGGAACTCGTCTATACTTGGACTGTTCAGAGTTTGAACCTAGATTCAATGAGTTAAAACAGAGCAGATAAGAGACTATTCAAGACCTAGGCACAATCAAAGAAACATATATTTTATAATAGAATGATAACAATTGAGAGTCTCTATGCACCTCTAAACGCCCTGAAGAAACAATCTCTGGAAAGGGGTATCTCAACCCGTCATCTGCGCCTTGCTTGTGCTTGTATTCGGATGATCTCCCACTTAAGACTGCAAGGAGACCACAAGTGTGTTTTGAAGCTCCTTGAACATGAAACATCATTTATGAGTGAGGTCACTCCCTTCCACCGGAGTCAATCAAGTTCCTCCCAGAAGGGTCAGCACCCAAAAACCATTAAAGTCACTACATCAAAAACTCCAAAGCTGCACATCAATTCCAAAATCCTCATCCAATGCAAACCATCTACACCAAAACACAGCCCCCAACCTGATTCAGCACAAAGGCAGCCAAAGACCTCGACTTCAACCAAGAGAATTCAGCACAACGAAAACCCTAATCGTACAACAAAGAACCCACTAAGGCTGGCTCAAATACAAACCAAAACGAATTCCCTAATCAGTTCAGGGATCAAAACAGGTGGGGAAAAAAAAAACCTAAATTAAAAACCTCAAAAGCAACCCTAATCGAGAAAATTCCCTAAATACATCGGGAAAGCAAAGAGAAAATCAACAAGAAGAAACGAAAACTAAAGTAACTCAACAATCAAGATGATAAAGAAACAGAAAAACTCACCGACCCAGATGAGGAAATTGAGGAATTCAAACAACCCAGATGAAGAAATCAAGAAAGATCGACGACCCTCGTCAGTCCGTAGCTTCAAATCATAAATATAGGCACCGAATATACGAGTAGTGTAAAGGATGAAACCCTAGGTCCTTCAAAATCACCCACCCAATAACATTTAGAACTTTAAAAAAAATAAAAAATCGTGTCTAATAAGAATCTCTCTCTATTTATCTGTGTGACTCTCTATCCACCGTAAATCAACAAAAACAAAAAAAATTATATAAATATTTTTACTTGTTAAATAGGGGGGCTGTCAGCTTTGGTGCAGTGACAGATACATTACCACATATCCAACCATCGAAAGGTCAAACACAAACAAAAACATCAAAAAAAAGAGGAGAGAGAAAGAAAGAAAGAAAGAAAGAGGGGTATAATTAAAATCTTTCTTTTGACAAAACTGTTTAGATAGAGAAACAAAAACAAATTGGAAAACCAAACAAAACAAAAACAAAAACAAAGAAAACCCAAAAAAGAAAATTGGAAAACAACTAAATTGAACAATAATAATAAGAAATGCTTTGAAAAATCAATGTTGGAATAGACTTTTTGCCTTGGATGGGCACCCACGAGATTCGGGAGTTGTAAAACAACAAAAAATTTCAAATTTCTTTTATTTCTTTCTCTTTTTATTATATACTTTTCTTTTGTGTTTTTGATTGATTATAAAATGTGTTTTTTTCTTCTTTTTTTTTTTGGGGGTAAACAACACCACTTGATATCATACTCATTTGGTTTTTTTTTTTTCCCCTTCTTTGGTTTCTGAAGCGATTATACTGTTCATGATGCTTGTTCGCTTTCCTCGAAACTCCACCTTCTTTTCTTGCCTCCATAGTCCTCCCCCTCTCTCTCGTATTGAGCTGAACTTAATGCTTTGCGGGAACAGGATTCTCAAAGAAATTCAAACACTGGAATTAGAATTCCCATCGCTTCTTACAATTTTTTTTTTTTTTTTGGGGGGGGATCAAATTATGAGGATTTTTGTTATTTCTTAGGCATCCCTCATGATTGTAATTATTACACTCAACTTCCCAAATGCTAGTAAAATATTGCAAACCAGCCCCGCTATAATAGTGTTATTCAGCATGTTTGGTTTTGGTTTTAGAAATTACTTTTTCAGAAATTTTATTTTTTTTATTTTTCGTATTTTTTTTATTTTGAATGAATTTTTAAAAATATTTTAAGAATTTTTTTTAATTTTTAGACACACCTAATATAAATATATTTAAAATGTATAATATGTATGAATTTTTTTTTAAAAAAAATTTACTAAATACCAAAAATATAAAAAATATATATATAAAATTCAATACATTTTTCATTTTTTTGTGAATTTATTAATTTTTAAAAATATTTTTTCATAAATATTTTACTATTTAGATACATCTAAATAAAACCTGATTTGGGGTGTTGCAAAAAAGTTAAAAAGTCAAAAAATTATAAAAAAAGTAAAAAATTTATCACTATTCATAAATTAAAAATATTAAAAAATTAATATACATATTATTTTAATCAAACAAAATTTACACAATTTTCGGAACTGAATTAACCTTTTAGTACCTTGAGAAGGAAAAAAAATTACATATATAAAATTACTAAGTTGGACAGAAATATTGGGCCTGTGAGGGCCTACCACGGGTCCCGTTTTGATAATCCGAACCGTTCAATATGTAGAACTGGTCTAGAACTATATACCTGTAAAAAATCACGTTGATTGAAAATCGATAACTAATGATCAAATCCGTTTTGTATAAAAAATTGATGGTGTCATAATTAACAGTTGACAAGAAAAACTAAAACGATCAGATAGATATTGATATCCAATCAATGTGATTTTTTACAAGTATATAGTACTCAACGAGTTCTACATATTAACGATTCCAATTAGCAAAATGGGACCTGTGGTAAGCCCCATGAGCCAAACAGCACAGTTCCATTTATGCCCCAAAAGGAGAGAATCAATCTCCTACCCCTACCCTCCGTATCGCTGCCTCTTACCCTTCTGACCATACGGCCTGTTCTATCACTAACTTCTCCAATACATTTATTTATATAAATTTTTAATACATATTTTTTCATAAAAACTTACAAAATTAATCCAAACATTCATATTTTTTTTCTTAATTTTTTAATTCAAAAAGACAAAAAGTGTACTTATTTAGGACATCCTAAACAAATCCTTAGATGTATTTAAAAAAGTAAAAAAAATTACTTAAAATTTTAAAAATATTCTCTAAAAACACAAAATATAAAATACTCAATTTCGTTTGGAAAAAGCTGAAATAGCCTGACTTTTGTGAGAGAAAAAATGTAATGATTATGATTTAGATGTAATATTTTATTTTATTGACTTATGTAGTCAATTTTATCTTTTATTCTTTTTTAGCCGAAAAGTCAAAACTAAAAATTAAAACAAAACACACTAATTGTTTTTTAGATGGTGAAATTAAAGCCCTTAAAAAAAAACATTTGTTGCGTGAAAGAAAGAGGAATGAAATATCATTTTCTTTTTTTTTCTTTTTCTTTTTTTCTTTTTTTTACAAATCTCTTAATAAATTTAAAATTTAAACATAATTTAAGAAATTATCAACTTTAAAAATGTTTACTTTAAAAAAATATGGGATAAGTTACACTAAGCTCCCTTGAAATTTGGTAAATATACAATAAGTTCACAATTTTGACATAATTAGATTGGTTCTCCATTATTAATGTTGAAGGGATTAGGATTGATGCAAACGGTGTGAATACACAATAATAAACAAAATAAATAATACATTTAAGTACTAAATAGACGACAATGTCGTTTTTTAACCAATATAATTAGCTAATTACTAATTAAAAATGGCTAGTTGTGGTGTAGATTAAAATTTTAAAAGAACACAGTGTACTTATGTTAAACTTGTAAGATTTATTATACTTTTTCTCAATCTCAATGAAAGTCAGTATAATTTATCTAAAAATATAATATTCTCATAATATAAGAAGCTTCTTTTGTTTGTTTGTTCCCTCCCCCAAAAAAATAAAAAATAAAAAATTGGTGATTGTCAAAATTGGGTAAAAAGGCTTGTTGCTATGATATTTTGGGCAAAAACACAATTACAACATCAAATTTTATGTTTTACTTTATTTGTGAAAAATACATGGCCAATGGATAGTTAACAAGCAACTTGCATTGTTCATAAAACTTTTGTAATGGTATTTTTATTACTCATTTGCTATATCATTCTCGATAAGTAGAAGAAAAAAATCTATGTAGAAATTTTATTTTTAAATCATTTTACTTATGAAAATTAAGGTAACCATTAGTAATCATCAAACCCTCCAACCACAATTTGGAATCAATTATAAGAGCAAAAACTGACATGGCTATGGGTGGGATTAGTATTCCAGGATGACATTGCTAACTAATCCATTTTAGAATTGGAGATGAAAATACTATTTTGTCTCCACTTTGCAAAATTAACAATGTTACATTTTATATAATGAGAATTTTTACATAATTTCATAAATTTAATCACAATTAATTAATATTATCATGTAGTAATCTCATCGCATTGTTCATAATCTCATCTAAATTAATTTAGTAATTGACCTAAAGATTCCAATCTTGTCACAAATCAAACTTCCATAACCTACAATTTCCCAATGTACCAAACAAAAATTATTTACCGTATTTGGTTTAAATTTTTAAATTTAATTTTTTGAAAATTAAATTTTTTATTTTTCGTATTTTTTGTTTTTAATAAATATTTTTTAAATTTTAAGAAATATTTTTACTTTTTTAGATATTTCTTATTTAGATGTATCTAAAAATTAAATATTTATAAAAATATATTTTATAAAAACTCATGGCTACCAGTACTTTCCATGGACCCTTTCTGTCAATTCTGGATTTAACTTATGCACATGGATATTATTAAAAAAAGGGCAAATTACATATACACCCCTCGAGGTTTGGCTAAATTACAAATATCCCCCTGAGGTTTGAGAAATTACAAATTCCCCCCTGAATGCTATATTTGCATAAGAAATTAGGGGGTAATTTGTTATAAAATATAAACCTCAGGGGGTAAATTGTTATGAAAATACAAACCTCAGGGGGCGGGATGTAATTTCCGAAACCTCAGGGGGGGACTAACAAATCTATATGACCAAATGCAAAACAAAGCCCACACTCTTTTCAGATCCAATTGAAATTTTATGGAGGTTAAAAATGACCTGTCATAGGAAGTGACTAAGATGTTCCCTTTTTTAGCCAACATTTTTTGTCTTATTTGTTGATCTAGGGACCCATCTAATGTGTGCATTTAAGGATGAGAATGGATCCAAATGCTCCAAGGGCCTAAAACTCGAGTTCTCATGTATATGCTTGACATGATAATAACAATTGCGATCTGGATTGTAGGCTTGTAGAATCTTATGACCCTAAATGGTCAAAAAGATCCAAATTGTTGTAAAATTGGTATATTATAGCTGGATTGTAAGTAGGATCTTGTAGGATTGCAGTTAGGATCTTTGGGTTGGTGATTTTTCACCTCATCTTTATTATGCATCATCCTTGTTGGTATTTTTACCTTTTTTCATTGTTATAAAAGTATAATCTTATGATTCTTGATCCGATACGATTCAATCTACTAGACTCTCTCACCATTCTCATATCCTGATTTATTAACCATGATGCCAGAGTTGCCTTGAACTGAACTATTATCCATGGTCAAGGTAGATTCCTTCGGTTTTCATAGTAAAATTTGTCTCTTTTTTGGGAAAAGAAATATAATGTGCTATTAGTGCTATATATGAGAGAAGACAAAATCAAAGCTTAATGCAAATTTTATGTCTCATGGTGTTGCAAGCCTTAGGCTCAATATTCAGTTGCTAGACCCTTAAAGTTTGTGCTTCGTGGCATTTCCTTGATCTATGCCTTGGTTTTTTATTCATCTCATGGATTATAAATCTTCATCATGTAGTATCATCAATTCTATTTTCATGATGGTAAAATGAAGCATGGCATAGTAATCAATTTAATATTTGAATAAATGCATGTGAAATTTAAATCTTATGAATTTAGGCCTCCAAGGAGTCATTTCGACATGTTTATCTAGCTTCAATATGATGTACACGTTAATCTTTTTGTAGGTTTCTGAAGGATCATTTGTCAAAAAATCGGCAGTAAGCATGCTTAGTGGGAAGAAACCTGTTCAGGCTGTTGTGAGTATTTTCTTATAATTTTTTCCTTAGCATGTCCTGTTTTATGCATATTGTGTTAGATAACATTTTTTTGCATCTTTGTGTTCTATTATTGGGTTTATATGTTTTCTCAGCCTGCTAGTAAGAAATGAGGGGTTGTAAAATCGGGTGTCAATAAGAAAGGAGATGCTGTTGGACAATTAAAAACATCCAAACCAGCTGAACCTGAAGACGTTGAGGTAAACCATTGATAATTTTATTTTAGCTATTTGATGTGCAGCTTGTACTATCTCTTGTGATGATGACTGTGTACGACGTTTTAATTGCGCCACTTTTTAACAAGCTCACTCCAGTGAGTTTCAAATATTTTTTTAGCCCATTTTACTTGAATAAATCAATTCAAGTTCATGTTTAGTTTAATGGTAATTTATTGTGGAACTTGCCTTGATATATGGTTTTTATTGTACCCTTCATTGTTGCCTACTGTTTGCTTACAGTATTACTAGTTTTCTGAAAGATCTTAGGGCCTCATCTTAAAAGTTGCGTGGCATTTTCTTATAGGAGCACCCTAAAACATTTATTTATCTGCATAGCCAATTCATGCTGGTTAATGGGTTGTGTGCAAACTTGCTTGGTGGACTGGGTAGTGATAGGCACAACATTTTCATTTTGATAGAAATTTGGGTGATATTCAAGAATCTATATCAAAATAATCATTAGAATGGTTTGCAATGGCGAAGCAACATTCTATGGTTCCGCATGAGTGGTTGCAGAACACTTGCACTAGGATCTGGTGTGTTTGGCATGCCTTTCTTTATTTTTTGTTTGGCTTGTCTTTGGCATGTTTGTAGACACTTCAATGTAAATTCTAGGAGTGTAGTTAATGCTGCTGCTGTGTTGTTGTTATGATTAGTTTTATCTGTGAGAGAATCTGTTTTTACAGAGCTTATAGTTTCCTGTTGTTGGAGGAGAGGGAACATTTCTAGTTAGTATATATGCTGGAAAAATAACATTTCCTTTCTAATTAATTATGCTCAGATGAAATTAGTTGTAAACATGCTGGACCTTTCCTTCTTTAACCATACTGGATTGATAAATTTGCAGGAATGGTGATTGACACTTTGTTATTCCTTTTCATGCATGTGGGGGACTCCAAAACTTGTGCAGAAAATGCCTACCATACAGGTAAATCTATGGATTTAGTTTTAACTTGGATGATTTTCATGATTTTCCCCCGTCCTAATAATGATAAAGGACCATGTAACAGCTGTGAAAGGATGGCAAGAAACAGGCAGATGCGTCCTATTAGACCAAAAGCTGGTGGTTCTCCATGAAAACAATATCAGTTACTGTGTAATACATTGGCATGAAATTTTGTTTGTCCTTCTTGAATGGCTATGAGATGTATTGGTAAGTTGTATAGGGAAGAGGATTAAATCAAATAAAACTAAGCTGTGTATCACAACCAGAATTTACTTGCACCATATTTTATGTATGTTCTCTTGAAACAAATACATTAGATTTTTTTTTTTTTTTTGGTATTTGTGTTTGCAGTTTGAAGGCCTATTTTCCTTTTGTTACTGTACTTGTCAAAGTGCTTTTGAGGGCTTATGCATCATTAAGTATGGGTATATCAATAATTAGTGTTCATTTTATAAAAAAAACAAAGAATGGTTTATTTTTAAAATCACAGAATTAGCATAATTTAAAAAAATAAAAAAAAAATGAAGTTATAACGGCGTTTTTCAAACGCCACTATAGTATAGTGTTAATTGCTATATTTTTAAAATTGAAAAAAGATATCACAACGTTTTAAAACGTCGCTAAATACTAGTGTGACATCAGTTAACACATTTAGCGGCGTTTTTGAAAACGCCGCATATACTAATATAACGACGTTTTCCAAGCGCCTTAAAGATACAGCGACGGCCGCATCTTCGACGTTTGATATTAAGCGTCGCAAAAAGAATTGGCGGCGTTTTTGATAGCTCATTTCCAGCAGTGACTGCATTGAAATTATCTACATCTATCATGATATCTTTTACAAGACATGTGAATTGAGAAATTTTACATTGTTTTAGTATGAAAATAATGTGTAGTATATGAAGTGAGGATATTCTCATCTCATAATATTACTGTTTTACCTGACACAATCCTAACAAAAGATATAACTCTCTCTGTCCAAAATCACATACGTTGACTCTTAACTGATTTTGGTTCTGTTGGGTAGAACATATTTCCAGCTTATTTCAGATTTTAACTTAATTTAAGCTATTTTAATGTATTTGGTTCAGTTTAATAATACAACTTATAACTTTTTGTAAGTCAAAAATTAACTTATTCTTTTAGTGGGGGAGGAGAAGCTTAATTTATAAGTTAAAAATCAGCTTATGTTCACAGTTATAAGGTATAAGCTGTTAAGTTATAAATTATAATCACTTTCCCACAGCTCTACCAAACGGGGCCTTTTGTATATATCTTAGGATGCGTTTGTTTGGACGGACTGGATAAAGGGGGATTGTAATCCATCGGACTATTAGTCCTGGGATACATTGTCCCGAGACTATTTGATTGGACTAAATTTGTATCATATGTTTGTCTAGTCATGGGATTAAATGTCTGGATTGGACTATTTTTAGTTATCCAATGTTTGTTTGGGATATTATGGAAAAGGATAAATGTTCAAATGACTATTTTATCATTTTCAATTATTTACTGAAATAGTAATATTAAACATAGCTTTAATATTTTAATTATTTTTAGCCAAATTAAATTAAAATTTATTTTATTTTTTTTTGCACAATATTTTAATTTATTATTTTCAATTAAATAAAATTTATAATTTATATTTTTTATTTAATATATAATTTTAAATTAGCGACAATAAAAAATAATTTTATTTAATATACAAATTAAATTTTCAACAACACAAAAAAAAATTAATTTATAAGGCCATAATTTATAATTTATTATTTTTAAATAAATTTAATTTATAATTTATATTTTTTATTTAATATATAATTTTAAATTAACACTAAAAAAATAATTTAATTTAATATGTAAATTTAATTTTTAACAACACTAAAAAAATTTAATTTATAAGGCCATAATTTATAATTTATTATTTTTAATTTAATTTAATTTATAACTTAAATTTTTTATTTAATATATAGTTTTAAATTAACAACGCTAAAAAAATAATTTATAAATATTCAAAAACTATTTTATCATTTTCTAATTGTTTGCTAAGTAATAGCATGGGGTAAAATGGACATTTTACAAAATAATCCCATGGGACCTCCCCATGGGATAGGATAGTCCCATATTTGTGGGACTCATAGTCTTGAGGGACTATTAGTCCGGAACAAAAAAAATGAAACAAATAATGGACTATTAGTCCGGTGGAACTAATAGTCCAATCCCACCCCCTAATCCTTCAAAACAAACACACCCTAAGGGCATGTTTGATTGGAATAGTCCAATCCCACCCCCTAATCCTTCAAAACAAACACACCCTAAGGGCATGTTTGATTGGGTGGATTAGAGCATGAGATTGAGATTATTAATTCGTGGGTCCAATTATCCTATGTTTGTTTTAACACTTTGGTTTAGGATTATTAATCCAATGGATAATTAATCCAACAAATTTGTATGATTATTAGTAATGGGGTAGGGGTGGGATTATTAATCTAATGAATATTAATCCAATTGGATAGTGAATACCACACTAATTTAATAGGATTATTAATACTTCACTATTAATCTTGTGAATCAAACATAACCTAAGATGATTATAGGTTAAGGTTTTTTTTAGATGGTGAGAATATAGATTGTTTGGGATAATCTAAATAAGTACACTTTTTGACTTTTTATGAAATATGGGTTGGGTTTGGGTTGGGTTTGAAGTGATATGTTAGAGAGGTGATGTGACTTAAATAAGATGATGTGACTTAAATAAAATAGTAATTTTTTGATTTTTTGACTTTTTTCAAACATGCCAAACTAACCCTAAAAAATAAAAGAGTGAAATTATTTATTATTTATTTATTTTGTTCGTATTTCGATCTTAACTTGTAAAAAATTTATTAGTTAGTGAAAACATCTTTATTTGGCTCCCTCAAATCAAAATTCTGCCTCTGCACGTATACACATGAATACAAAAGTAATATACAATATATAAAGGTCTGCCTTAACCCCAATAATCTTTTGGGAAAAACTCTGATTCAAGATACAAAAAATAGTTATATATTATATATATGAAACTATAAGACAAATATTGCTCTATCCTTTGGAGAAGACAATGACTTAGGCCGCTGCCGGAATTGTTCCAAGAGGGCACCAGTCTCACACCGCCGACAACTTTCCCTGAAAGATGCAACCATTTTCTTGGTGGATCCTTCTAGTTCTTTCATTTCATCCATATATATTTGCCTTTCTCTGCACTCCACACTGCAAAATCCTTGATCACCTCTGCATTAATTAAAAATCACATATTAACAAGCAAAAAAACAAAAACAGAAAACAAATCATTAATTTTTTATTTTTTATTTTTTATTTTTTGATTAGCTTACTTGTACATGTACACATCTTTGTCAAGGCTCAACTTCTTGTTGCATAGATGACATGATTTGAGAAAGCAAGTTGGATCGACACGATTCGTCGTTAGGAAGGTGGGTTTTTTTAGATTAAATTTAGGTTTAACAACAAAGTTGGATTTGGATTTGCCTTGTGAAATCTGTATAAGAATTCTCAACCCAACATCCACTGATGAAGTAGAACTCTTGTTTGGGACCATTGTGATCCAGAGAGAGAGAGAGAGAGCTAGGAGACAGAGAGAGAAGGAGGAGAGAGAGAGGGTTGGCGATGAGGATTGTGAAGTGAAGGAGTGATGGATATTAAATAGAGCTTGTCTCCACACTTTACACTGTAACAATAGTGTCTGGAAAAGGAAATTTCAAAAAAAAAAGTGACCATGTTTAACATGTTTTTGGGTTACAATTTAAACGTGCTTTTATTTTAATAATAATGTGCTTTTATTTATTTATAGGATTATAGGTTATAATAATATATTTTTACCGCGTTTGGTTCTTTGGAATTCATTGAAGAGACAGGTAATAAAACGAGGCACTTTTCAGCCTTTCGAATTTAAAAACTTGGTGTTGATTTTGACACGCCAAACGTGAAACTCGTGAATACGTGAATTTTAGATTTTAAAATTAACCTGAATTTTTAAACTAATTATATAATTAAAATTGTGAATTCACTATGAATAAATATTGAATGTGTACCAGTATATTGAGCCTGTGTTTGGCAAGGGTTTTTTCAGGTTTTTTTGGCTATTTTAGCCACAAAAAATAAAATAGGCTATTTTAGTCATAACAAACAAAACATCACATCCAACCTATAATCATTACATTCTTCTCTCACAAAAAAAGTCAAAAAAGCCAAAAAGCCAAAAAGCCCTTCCCAAACTAAGCTTTTTAGCTCAGGCTAAAATAGTTAAAAAAGCCAAAAAGCCAAAAAGCTAACCCACTTCCCAAACGGAGGCTGAGTGTGCGCTGGTAACAAAATGTCAACTCGATATTATACACTATTCATTGATATTTAAAACTATGATCTTAAGATTATTACTTAATAATTACATGTTTATTAATTATTTATTTTAACAAAATTTACAATCATTTAATATTTTATTAATTAATATTAGTACAAATTTAGATCCTCACTAGAAGTTGCTTTATGCTAGCTAAATAGCTTTTGACTTTAGCTCTATAATTAGATTTGTAAATCTCAATTGTTTAGGAATATTATTTCCATCTCTATCACGCTATCCATTCAAAACATTATCTATGTATTCTCGCTGATTTTCTTATTGTTATTAATTTTAGATAAATTTTTTAAAATCAAAAGATAGGGTTTACAGATCTCTACTTCCTGGAATGGAACAAGAAATCACAAGTATTATTAGTGATTAATTTATTCGCTTCATCGATAATAGAGTTGAATTTAATGTATTATATGAATCTTTGTTTTTTTTTTTTTTTTTCCCTATTTTTTTTTTGCCTACAAAATTGAAAAAAAAAATTCTTATCATTGGAAAATGGAGTCAGTGGTGAAGATTTTTTCTTTTGATTAGTTAGACAGAAGAAAAAATTGTGACTAAAACACCCTTTTAGGTATTTTCTCGTAAGTTCCATCAACTGAATAATACTATAAAAAATAAAAACTTTTCATATTATTTCAAGAGAGAACTTTAAATCAGTATATAAGTTAAAAAAATAATGAGGAATTTTTTAAAAAAAATTCACAAATATATAATAATTTTCTGCAATTACCACCTGCAAATAGTTTTTCCTTATTTCAAAGTGTCTTTGACATGAGGATTATTTTGTAAAAATTATGTTGATCTAATACTCTCCCACGAGAAAATTACAAATGCATGGGCCATTTTGAGTGTCTCAGTCATGGGGAGTATTTGATTTGATACATTCTGCAAATTAACAAAAGTAATAGAGGACTTGCGGGTACCACTTTTTCATAAATTAAAAAAAACCAAAAACAAAAACAAAAAAGAAGCCCGTGAAAACAACTACTGTGTTTGATTTTAATTTTTTTAAAATTAATTTTTTTATTTTTTATATATTTTTTATTTCTAGTGAATATTTTTTAAATTTTAAGTAATTTTTTTATTTTTTTAGTTGTACCTTATTTAGATGCATCTAAAAAGTAAAATATTTATAATAAAATATTTTTTTAAATTAATAAATACACAAGAATACCAAAATATATTGAATTTTTGTATTTTTGGCATTTAGTGATTTTTTTATAAAAAAAAATTCACAAATATTATATTTTGTAAGTGTATTTATATTTGATGTATCTAAAAATTAAAAAAAAAATTACTTTAAGTATTAAAAAAATTTAGTGAAAACAAAAAATTTCAATTTTCTGAAAAGTGAATCATGAAAAGTGAAACCAAACAAGCTGAACAATTCTTTTCTTCTTATCCAAATAAAATTGTGAAAATTTTAATTCCATCAATGTTTGTGGTATTAAGTCTAAGGATTGATTTGTTTTCGTAGTCGCCAGCGTTGGTGGTGATGATTTGGACAGATAAGCAGATTAGGCAGACAAATAAGTAAATAAAGGAGTGACATGTGAACGGATAGGTGAATAGATGAGTGCCATGTGAACAGATAAATGACATATGAATAGATAAATGACAATTGAACAAATATTATAATTTTTTACATCCTAATGACCTTAAAAGATGGTTTGGGATGATCTAAATAAGTGCACTTTTTAACTTTTTATGAAATATGGGTTAGGTTTGAAGTGATGTGATAGAGAGATGATGTGATAGTACATTTTTGACTTTTCAAGTTATGACAAACAAGGCCTTAACTTTAGACTCAACAGATCTAAAAATAGACTTTTGGGCTAAATCCTCAATAAAATTAACCAATAATGCTCATTAATATTTAAAAAAAAAAATCAAAAAAACTACATCAATCACTATAGCATATTAGCTCCCAAAAAAAAAAAAAAAATCACTATAACATATAATAATTTGAAAGATCAAATTTTATTTTTTTTTTGTCTCTACATGTGAAAATTTTCAATTGATATACTGAATATGACCCAATGTTAGACCTAATTCTTCATTCCAAGCCTGGTTTTAAGATTTTGTTTATTTTGTATTGCGTCTAAGCCTATCATTTCAACAACAAAAACAAAATTGAAAGGGACCAACAATAAAATTCATCAATCAAGTAAAAGATACTTCTATTATGACTTCAACATTAAATTAAGGGGTTGTTTGGAATGTGTTTTGACTTTTTATAAAAAGATATTGTTGGCTGTATAAATTGTAAAAGCCAATCACAATTCAATACGTGACATGAAGGGGCCAATTTAGGGAGTTAATACAAGTTGCCAATCAAAGTCAGACACGTGTCAGCCCGTATTGATAATAATAGATCTGCGTAGCACTGGAATAATCAAAGGATATAAGGTAATGTAAGGGGTTGTTTGGAATGTGTTTTGACTTTTTATAAAAAGATATTGTTGGCTATATAAATTGTAAAAGCCAATTAAAATTTAACACGTGACATGAAGGGGGCAATTTAAGGAGTTAATACAAGTTGCCAATCAAAGTCAGACACGTATCAGCCCGTATTGATAATAATGGATCTGCGTAGCACTGGAACAATCAGGAGATATAAGGTGATGTGACCTAACGGTTACTTACAAAGTTCAAATTCAAAATCAAGAGGGAAGCCTAACTGCAAATGTGGTGTAGTGGGACTGACTGTGAGAGAGCATGTTCAGCAATCATGGGAGGACATTTCGACGATTAGATGCCCACTTCGACGGTTATCATTGAGAAGTATAAATAGCAGAGAAGGCCCTAGAATGAAGGATCCAGACTTAGATCAAAAAATCAGTTTTATTTACTTTTTTTTCCCTTCCAGTTTTTACAGTTCTTTACATTTCTGCACTTCAAATTCATGTATTGCACTTCATTCATAGGAGTAGTTTCAAATACATTGTTGTTGTAAACCTCTACGAGACTGGGTCAGATCATTGTAAGTTTTTCATTTTAGTTAATGAAATTATGAAATTATTTTTCACTTTATTGTTATTTACTAAATTCTCCTAAACAAGCCACCAGTAAAAGTCATCTTCATTGAGGCTGAAAGAACTAAAACACAATCGTCTGATAATTGTTTGGCAATTAATCTTCTGTAAGGAGTGATTGATCCTTGCTGGCACGCTTAAAATTATAATATTAACCTTCGAAAGCCAAAAAAGCCAACGTATATTTTTGGCACGCTCGACATAGGAGACAAGGAGAAAATGAACGCCTGGAAGAAGGTGTAGAAGGAAAGGCAGAGGTACCTGATCCAGAGGATAATGTAACAACACGTCCTATGGAAGCACCTATCTCATCAAAACGTATGTCGAACAAACTAGTAATTCAGAACATGCACCACATGTTCAAAATATTGGATGAGACCATAGAATTGGACTATCCACTATTCCATTTACTCAGCCAATGAATCCATGGAGAGGCCTGGTAGATGCCATAGGGCAGCAGTTGATGAACACAATAGAAAGATGGGCAATATCCTTTATGGATAGTATGAATTCCCATCAACCAACTAACACAAGGCATATGGAGGAAAATTTAAATGTTCCTCAACAAAGATTGGCTAAAGATAAACAGCCTATGCAAAGTAATGGGCATACTAATGGTCAAACTAGTAATCAAAATTATGAAAGACCATCACCTATACCTCAGTCTTGGTATGAGCCTCTTTCGAGGCCTATGGTAAATCAAAATGCCTCATTACCTAACAGCGAAGCCATACAAATTGGTGGATCTGGGTTAACACAAGAAAATGGCATGAGAATGTTTCCAAATTCCATGTTTGAAGCCATACCTGGCACAAGGAGATTCACTAATCCCTTGTTCGAATTCACACCCGGGGGGTTGGAAGGGTTTCCTGTGACTGGGAGAGAAACAACACATGTTCCTCTTATTACAGCCCCTTTCGCAAGTCCTTTCATGGGACAGGTTCAGAGAGGTCAACCATATCCTCAATAGCAGCCAGTACCACAGGGACAACCAACCCCAAATATACCTCCCTATGGACCAAGAGGACCTCAAGCATAAGATTTTTCGCCAAATCCTGTGTTTGTTCCTCCAGTGGTAGTTCAACAAGCACAAAATATGGTTCTTAGGGACCAAATTGTTAATATTGTCAGAGAAATGCGTGGACCTATGGCTCGGGGGGTTCAAACTCCTATGTATAGGAAGCCATACCCAGAATAGGTGGATAGGGTACATGAATACCCAAGGGGGTTTAGAATACC